CCTTCCTTCCTTCCTTCCTTCCTTCCTTCCTTCCTTCCTTCCTTCCTATGATAGTAAAACTACTGTGCTTTGGTATTTAAACAATTGCTACCTCACACAGGGCATGCAATTGTGACATTGTGTAAATAAAGAAAAAATTAGATTTTAGGCTGGAGGATCTATTCTATTAGAATCAATTATCTTAGATAATTGTAACATATTCTCCACATTCAGAACCAAGACATGGTTCTGGGAAGCATGATGTGAAAGAGAGCATGATGCAGTCATGTCTGCTTCCTAAATGTTGTTAGTTCCATCAGCCATGCAAGATTCAATTTCCTGATAGTAGGAATAGATTTCTGTGAAAAATGGGGAAAGATAGCAGATAATTTTTTTTTGCCATTCCCAGCCTGGTCTATCGAAGGGGAAGAAGATGTGGGATTAGATTTTGATCCAACCGACAGGAAAACAGTTCTTTTATACTTGTTCTCCTTCGCTTATGGAAATTTGGTTGGACAGGCAATATTTCAATTTCAGAGAGTAGTGAACATAGTTAGGCAAGCCTGCCTTGTAGTTGTGTGTGCATGTGTGTATGTGTGTATTTTGCAAGCTTGGTTCCAACTGATTTACCTTCTGCACCTCCCTGTTGTAATCCACACAAAGGTTCCCTGAAATTACAGCCATGCAATTTTTATCACATTGTCTGCTTTGATATAACAAGTGTGAGAGAGAGGGAGATAGATCGTGGGATTGAATAATTAGTGGAACAGGAGGAACAGTTCCTGTGTTAAAGATGAAATGGGAGAATGGAGCTTTAATGCTTGCCTCGATTTTGATTGTGATGTTGCTTCCAGCCCAAATTACCTTTGCTGCAGTGGGAGCTTCTTCTCATTGCCAAGATGTTGTGGTCTGTCGGCCGCTGGCCCCTCCAGCGGCCGAATCAGTAAGGCTGCGTGGGCAACCTGAGAGCTATGAGGAAGAAGAGGGAATGGAGTTGTGAGAAAGAGAGAGAGAGACAGGGGCAGAGCCTGGGCCATCCATCAACCTTCAGATGGAGAGAAAGAGCCCCCAGGTCTGAAGGTGGCTGATGAGGAAGAGGAGGAGTGCTGGGTCCAGTGCCTGATGCGCAGATGTGCAGAAGGCAGAGGAGAGGAGAGCCGTGGAAATCTATGGGCTGGTCCTTGGGATGGAAGAGCCGCTGCTGCTAGCAAAGCCCCATCCTAGCTCTGGGCATAAAAGGCAAGGGGGCAGCGATGAATTGGTATGTCAGACAACTATTCATCTCCCTGCTGTGTGTGTGTGTGAGAAAGAGAGGGGGGGGGAGAGACAGTTTTTGCGGGGGCTGCTGGTCCTCCTAATAAAAGAATAATTGCTTTAACTAAAGAGGGTTTGTTGTGTTTGGGAGCCGGGTCAGACCACAAGATCAGGAAGTGCACAATTCCAATCAGGACTATCATCTTGATCCTGCTCAGCTACAGGTTAAAGAAAAATTAATCGTAATAACGTGAGCCCCAAACTAAGAAGCCTAGATTAAAAGTTGCTTGAATTTGACTACAACAGGTAGCCCTCAGTTTACAGCAGTTCGTTTAGTGACCGTTACAACAGCACTGAAAAAAGTGACTCGGGACCGTTTTCACACTCATGACCTTAACCCCATGGGGGTCAAAATTCAGGCACTTGGCAACTGACTCATATTTACGATGGTTTCAGTGTCAAGTCATCTCCTTTTGCGACCTTCTGACAAGCAAAGTCAATGAGGGAAGCCAGATTCATTTAGCAACCGTGTTACTAACTTAACGACAGCAGTGATTCACTTAACAACTATGACAAAAAAGGTCGTAAAATGGGGCAAAACTCGCTTAACAAATGTTTCACTTAGCAACATAAACTTTGGGGCTCCCTTGCCCTAATTCAAGGACTACCTGAGGCAGATCCCAAGGCTGTACAATTTCAAGTGAGTAAATGTAAGAGTAAGAGAGAGTAAGAGTAATTTATTTGTCAGTCGCTTACAAGATAATAGGTATAAGTATAAACATGAGTATGAATACAGGAAATGGGTACAAATAAATGTGGACAATAGGACAGGGATGGGAGGCACGATGGTGCACTTATGCATGCCCCTTACAGACCTCTTAGGAATGGGGTGAGGTCAAAAGTGGTTAGTTTAAGGTTAAAGGAGTGGGGGTTAGAGGATGTAACAACAGAGTCAGGTAGTGCATTCCAGGCATTGACCACTCTGTTGCTGGTGATCTTAGAAATAATGGTGGACTAATTTTGGATGAGGCCTCCCATACTTTTTTTTTCTCCCCTCAGGAAAGATCATCATGCATGATCCTTTTGCCATGAGACCTTTCTTCGGGTACAACTTTGGTCAATATCTTTCCCACTGGCTCAGCATGGCACATCGGCCTACAGCAAAACTCCCGAAGATCTTCCATGTCAACTGGTTCCGGAAAGATGAACAAGGGAAATTCCTTTGGCCCGGCTTTGGTGAAAACTCCCGGGTGCTGGAATGGATGTTTAACCGCATCCGGGGAGAAGACGACGGTGCGCAGCTGACAGCCATTGGCTACATCCCCAACGACACAGGATTGAACTTGAAAGGCTTGGAAAGGGTCAGCCTCCAGAAACTCTGTGACGTTTCCAAAGAGTTTTGGGAGAAGGAGGTGGAAGAAATCAAGAAATATTTTGCAGAGCAAGTGAATGCCGACCTCCCGTATGAGATGGAAAGAGAAGTTATTGCGTTAGAACAGAGAATTAAACAACTGTAACATCGACTGGACACTGTGTAGATGGTACTTTGGAAAGAAATGTCCAGCTTTTTTTTTTTTTTTTAGAAACTAGGCCTGGAAGTGCAGTAAAATAGTGGCAATCACAGTTATGGACGGAAGTATCACTTGTGCAGTTCAATTGGAGTAGAGAGGTCTTCCAGTCACTCAGATAGTTGAAGCTGCTTAGTTACTTTGAAGCTACTTTGAAGCTAGATAGAGTTGATCAGCATTATTGCTTCATAAAATAAATGAAATAATCAGAACTATTGCTTGATAAGCAGGTATGCTTCCACTGCTAAGTATTGCACTCACACGTCAAGTAAGCTATTCCAGAATAGCCGTGGTTTCTCTGTAACTCTTCCTTGTGTCAATTCCTCTCCTCCTCTGTCACTGCTCATTGTAGGATGTAGAGATTCTGCACTTCAGTAAGCAGGAGATGAAAGACTAAAGGCCACTCAGCCCAGCAGCTGTCCATTTTAATTTGCAACAGCATTAAGGTGGTGATAATGATATAATCCATAATGTAATGATGATGATATCTTCACCCACTTACTTGTTTTCTGGTGCCATATTAAAATGACCTTGCAGAAAGCCAATTGTTCCTCACCACAATGACATTCTTCAGCATGTAGTTAATAATACTGAATAAAGACTTGTAGACATCTGCATTGTTGCAACAACAGATGAGGGACAATCAGAAGAAGTAATTAGCAGCTAAGGTATTTCGTAAAAATAAAGACACTCAAGAGATTACTACTCCATTGTGTCACACAGAAAATTCTATTTTCTGTATGCAAAATATTTTCTACGTGCCTTATGTTTTGTATTGTGACTCTGTCATGTATTGGGGATCCTGTTATGATCCCAGAATAATAAAATATAGCTTTGTATTTTGGCTTCTTGATATGTACTCTGAATATTGCTTATAGGCAATCCAATCCTATGCATATTTATTTGGAAATCCCACTACAGACATTTCTGCATTGTTGTGCTATCTGTCGCCCCTATGTGTCAGCACAAAAACTGGTGTCATGATATTGGTTGTTCCATTGTTGTTGCATATTTTGCCTCTGTAAAGTTTGTTGGGCCTGCAGGACAAATTAACCACATTTTCCACGGCATCATGTATTTTACATGTGGTGATCGTTTCTCATCTCAGAGCTTTCTTGGCTTCCAACCTCCCATGTTGCAACTCTGTAAGATATAAAAAATACAGTTGAATTCAGTACATACTCTGGCACCACTATATCAATATGCCTCTTTTTGGACTTCTGGTTTGAAAGGCTTTGGCGACAAACAGAAATCCACGATCGTGCGTGGTTTCTGTCTGGGCTCGCCGCTGGAGTGCCCCGAGCCGGCTGGTTTCGGGGCTAAGCCACCCCGTAAAGGTGGTGAAGAGGGGGGAGACCGCCAGCAGGGTTGAGGAGAGCGGCATCTCTCCTCCTCAGCTGGCTATTACTCCCTTTCCTGAAGGCGGTTGCAGCGGTGGTCAGAAATGGCCACCACAAAGGAGAACTCGACCGGAAAAGAATGTGCAGGAGGAAGATAAGAAGTGAAAGTTTTGGCTGACCAGGTTAAATTGTAAAAGCAACAACTAAGGTACCCTGGAATTTAAACTTACAAAAAATAACATTGCTCCCAAAGAAGAATCGGAAGCAGCGAAGGAAAGTGAAAAGGGAAAGGTTTGGCTTTTTTTCCCTTCTCTCTCCTTCCCTATACTGATAACTAAGAGACTTAAATAAGAAATTGGAAAAATCCGCTTTGACATCAATAGGCAATTAAGCTGAAAATAAAACAAAATGCCAAAGGGATAATAAAGATTTCTGGACATTAAAATTTTTCTTTTTCATAAGCAGGAAGGGAGAGAAAAGAATGAGGGCAGGATCTGGAAGAGGGAGGAGACTGCCTGGAATTAAAAAGAATCTACAGTAAAACTTCAACAAGACTTCTAAAAGGTACATTTTAACTGAAACTTTGCAACTAAATAGTAACCCCAGGAAGAGAAAGTGAAAAAAAAGAGCAAAAAAGAAACAGCTTGCGTGTATTTGGATTATTTGGTGATCTTTGGATTCTTGGTTATTATATTTAAATGACTAAAATCAATCAGGTGGTTGTTTAAAAATTTATACAATGGCACCACTTCTGGATTAATTGAAAATGGAACTTAAAAAGTACAAAGAAGATGCACAAGAAGGGAAGGGTTCTTTTGGCTTCATTTTTCAATTCTTAGAAATGGAGATTTGGAACTATGAGAAACAACAAGAAACGACTGCAAAACAAGAAGACTGGGACAAAGAAGAAGCCATCTTTAATGAACAAGCAATTTTATGTAGGGAAGAAAAAGGAAAGAGGGGGAAAGAGAATGGAGAATTTAAGACTTAAAAAAACAACCTAAGAAAAGAAAAATAAGTATAATACTGGAAAGCAACAGAAAAGGGGAATACAGAAGAGAGAAATAGAGGTAGAGAGACAAGGGGGTAAAAAGGGGAGAGAGAAGAAGAGAGGGAAGAAGGAAAGGAAAAGAAGTTACAAAGGACTGGAGCAAGATATAGAGAAACAGGACCTATTTAGAGATAATGGGTGAAAATCTAACTGAAAAAGGGATTCTGTAAAGGTACATAAGATTGTATTGTTATATTAGTAATAGAAATAACTTTAGAAAATTGGAAACAACGTATGATTAAAATGAGGGATAAAATAGTTAGTGTAATTTATGAAATGTTTGTGAATAAAATAAGTGAAATAAAATAAATGAGAAAATTGAATTAGAAAGGAACGGGAACATTTTAATTAGTTAATGTTTTATAAAATATAAGTGAAGAGGGGGGGGGGATTAACTATGGAAAGCTTATAATTGTTCCCATAGAAGTATGATATTTAATTGAAAAGTAATGTTAAAGATGTTAAGACTTTAATGAATATTAATATTAATGATAGAATTGAATTGGAATGGAATGCAATGTTGTATTAATTATATACATTTATAATTTTTTCTTTTTTTAAGAATACAGTGTGTATTTTAAGAATGTACCAAGCAGAATCCAAATGGAAGTTATGTATTATATTGAATGTTACAACTTTAGGGAAAAGATATAAAGGTGTCATACTCCAATCAGTAACTACAGGAGAAATTTTGTTTAATGAGAAAAGATAATAGATAATTGAAACAGGACAGACAAAAAATATAAATACAATGATTTGAATTGAGATGAGATAATTAAAATAAAATTGAGAAAATTAAAAGAGGGGAGAAGCTATGCAGAAAATGTAAAATAGTAATAAGATATGGAATAGAATATAAAAATGAGCATGAGCCTGAATTTGTGTCTGAATGAAGAAATGTAACCCGGGATTACGCTACTTTCAAAAAAGATGTTTTATTTGTATTTTTTTTTTCTCTTTGTGAAAACTCAAATAAAATTTACCAAAAAAAAATATGCCTCTTTTTGGACAAACAAAATAGAATAATGAACCAGAATCTGTAGACTCTCCACCCAACACAGTTGTAAGGCAAATGGCTTAAACCAAGGTTGTTTTCAAAGAGACAGCAGGGAGACAGTGAAGGCATCATAAAGTTATCTTGAGTTATTGCTGATATTGTTTTCTGTTAGACATTTTCCCATCTCTTTACATTATCCTTGGATAACCACAACTAGAGGCCAGGAGGATGGGAAAGCAGAGTGGTTGTAAACTAATAAATACATGTTTGTTAAGGGGAAGATCTATAGTACATTCTTGGCCCCCAAATAATGCCATCTAAAAAGTATAAAAATATACTATACCCCTTTCCTTCCTCCCCTCCCCTTTCCTTAAACAAATAACACTACCATAATGTGTCAGCTCTCCCAGGTAGATCAGATAGGAAACCCAATCAGATGAACTAATTCTATTTTATTATAAGCCCGCATTAACAGAATCTTGCACATCTGAAAGTACAAATAGGGCACCATCTCATTTATAGCCTGAGAACCCAGAGGGTGGGTCCCTTCGGAGTCTCTTTTCTCCATCCATTATGCAGCTGTGGAGTGTGACCTCTCTTATCTGACTCTTCCCTAGGCAGCACTTTTTTCACCCCATATTTCAAGATCTTTTTCACATACTATTACGAGTTAATGGATAAAACAGAGTTGGTGTCAGCATTCCAGCAAACCTCCATTCCAACCAATAACTACAGTAGCTACTCCTGCAATTTGGCAGATCAAATCCCACCAGACTCAAGGTTGACTCAGCCTTCCATCCTTCCGAGGTGGGTAAAATGAGGACCCAGATTGTTGGGGGCAATAGGCTGACTCTGTAGACTGCTTAGAGAGGGCTGAAAAAGCACTGTGAAGCTGTATATATAACTCCAAGACAGACATCTCTCAAAGGTTCCTTTTATTTGGATAGTAACTGGCACATGTGGAATCTCGAATCTGAAGTTCCGGGCTTCCTTACAATAAGTAAAACTATAAATCCATCCTCTATACCCATCAGCACATCACATGACCCAATCATCATCCATCCAGGGTTGGGATTCAAAATTTTTAACAACCGATTCTGTGGGCGTGGCTTAGTTTGTGGACGTGGCTTGGTGGTTATGTGACTGGGTGGACGTGGCTTGGTCATGTTATTGGCTGGGCATGGCCAACTCAATATCACTCACATCAAGGCACACATCTCTCCTGGCCTCTCATGACTGTGGGGATGCTGCAACAGTCGTAAGTGTGAAAAATGATCATAAGCCACTTTTTTCAGTGCCACTGTAACTCTGAATGGTCATTCCACACAAGCAAAGTACCAGAAAAGGAGGGGGAAAAATCTCCAGAGACGTTCCTGAGACAGGAAGTCTAGTCCTGCCAAGAATGTAATAAGGGTTAACGGAGAGGCAGTTTCTGTAAGCAACACCAGAATGTTTCCTTCCTGCCTTCCTTACAGGATTAGCCCAGTAATTTCTTCTAACAACCGGTTCTCCGAACTGCTTAGAATGTTAACAACCGGTTCTAGTGAATAGGTGCGAACTG